AACAACAGGCTCGAGGGAAAACCCGGCCAACCGGATCAAAAACCCTCGTCTGATACCCTAAATGTATAAAAACCGTCGCTATCACGGAGGATTCCAATGGACGCACTTCCAAGACAAGACCAAGGCAGGACAGATTGAACCGGTCACGCTGATTACACACCCGAAGCAACGCTCTCGGCGTTTCTAGGCTCCAGCCGCGGGTGACGCGCCGGCACAACGATTCCTGCGTGACGCACCATGATCATATATGCCAAGTGCTATAACCACCACATAAACCAAACAGAACATGAGAACACTACATCGGTAGGTTCATCAGAGCCTTCCGGTGGTACTCTAACTTCTCTCTGCCAAGGACCTTGGTCAGCATGTCGGCGTGCTGCTCTCCAGTCGGAACATACTCTGCAGTGATCTTGCCCGACTTGAATAGCTCGCGAATGAAATGGAACCGCACGTCGATGTGCTTGCTCCTCGCTGAGCTGAACGGGTTCTCGATTAAGGCTAGAGCCCACTTGTTGTCCTCAAGGACCTTGATCTTCGCCCCACTCGTCTCGGGCGCTACGAACGACAGAACGCCACGCACAAACAAGGCCTCCTTCACGCCCTCCCCGGCTTCCATATACTCTGCTTCCGAGGTCGACTGAGCCGTCACTGGCTGCGCCTTGGTGGATGCACACACTACGGTACCACCTACGGTCACAGCTACCCCGGTCGTAGAAAGCCTGTCTACTTCGTTGTCAGCGTAGCTGGCATCGACAAAGACGCTTTGGTCTAGCCCTGACCCCCGTACGTAGGTGATGCCGAAGTCCTTCGTGAAGTTCAGGTAGGACATGATCCGCACAAGCGCGTTCCATATCCTCCCGGTGGGTGAGTGGGCGATCTTCTGGAGCTTGTTCAGAGGCAGGGCGATGTCCGGCCTCGTCAGCTTCGTCCACATCAGGCATCCGATCGCCTCCCTCACAGGCTTATCCACCGCGGGCTCGTCATCTCTCTTCGGCCCTAAGTCGGCATCGGTGGCAGCAGTGGTGAAAGCGATCGTGGTCACATCAAATCGCTTCAGCATACTCTCAATGTGTGCTGTCTGGGATAGCTTGGTGATGCCATTTTCTACATCCATGGCGATAGCACACCCGTCGTAACAGGTACACTCCCCCAGATCTTTCACCGGAAACTTCTTGTTGAGGGAAGCGAACAACTCCTCTGGCTCTCCCTCGTCTGCCGCCACTATGATGTCATCAACGTAGATCACGATGAGACCTACGACCTCTCCATCCACCACCTTTTGGAAGACACACGGGTCAACCCTGCACTGCTCGTATCCATTCTCGATGAGGGCATCGGCAGCTTCAAACCCCCACTCACGGCCACTCTGCTTTAGGCCATACAGGGCACGCTCAACCTTGACCACCTTGCCGGACATGCTACCACAGCCTTCCGGGAACCTGAGGTATATTTCTTCTTTTAGCTTAGCGTGGATGTACGCTTGCTTCACATCCCAGTGAGCGAGTTTCTTGCCCTTTTCAGTGGCTACGGCAATCACCGTCTTGATAGACGCTGCAGACGGGCACGCTGAGGATGAGTGGTGGAAGTCGATGCCGGGGATTTGAGAAAACCCCCGCGCAACCATACGGGCCTTGAAGTCGACTATCAGGCCCTTCTCATTCTTCTTCCAAGAGAACACCCACTTTGAACCTATGGCCTTCCGCCCCTCGGGCAGCTCCTTGACCTTGGTAAAGGTTCCAGTCTTGTCGTGGCCATCTATCTCTTCCTTTATGGCCGCCTCCCAGAAAACGTTGTACTTGGAACACATCACATCCTTGTACGTCATCGGTACTGCTTGTACATCACTCAGCTTCTGCCCGATTGGCGAGGTCATACTTGGCTGTGGGTCTGGGAGTGGTTGCGAAGACCCGCTGGCGTCGACCTCGGCCCCGAACGCCTGCTGTTCCGGGCCCAACACCTCCTGCATCTCGCGCCTGTACATCTCCTCCATACGGCGTGTCTGCTCCTTGTCCCACTGCCCCTTCACAAGCGAGTTGCAGATGTAGTCCTCAACACTTCCCGTCCCGCTAGTTTCCAGGATGGTGGCCAGCAGTGCCTCTTTCATGTCCGGTGTTTCTCCGGGCCCCGGCATCTCCCCGGCACCTTGCATCTCCCGGGTCTGCTTCCGCGTGCGGCCACTCTCAAGCCCATGGCGCAGCGGGCCAGCGTTCGAGGCGCCCCAGAGGAGTTTCTTCCCTTCTAGCCCGCAGGGGTAGCGGTCGTCGGCTGGATCATACTTCAGCTCCTCGAGGTTCTCGGAGTCGCCGGGATTACCACCGCTACCGCCGTCCCCACCTGGGTCGCCGGGATCTTCGCCGCCCAGGCCGCCGGCACCGCCGGCGTCACTGCTGCTGCTGCTCGGGCTGCTGCTGCTGCTGCTGCCGCTGCTGCTGTTGCTGCTGCTGTTGCTGCTGCTGTTGCTGCTGTCGTTGGGGCTGTCACTGCCTCCGCCGAAGTCGCCCCTTCCCGAAGGGGGCGACGGGGGAACGCTGCCTCCGTCCCCCGGAATCCCGTTGCTGGGTGCCGTCGGCGCCTCCTCGCGCACAAACGGCGACGCTTGCCCTGGCCCACGAGCCTCCATCACGTCGAGGTCGGACTCACTC